CGCCTAACAAAAATATCACATGGGACTCAATGAAATTATCCAAAGAGATTAAGGTTGTTCGCTGCAAGTCTATGTTCAAAAGAAAGGAAGGTACATCAAGAGTTGAAGAGATAAGGTACAAGGCCAGATTGGTAGCAAAAGGTTACAGCCAGATTTCTGGTGTTGACTTTGCAGATGTGTTCTCACCCGTTGTAAAACATAGCTCAATTCGAGTTTTACTTGAGGTTATGGCTAAGGATGATCTGGAGTTTGAGCAAATGGATGTCAATACAATATTCTTGCATGGAGAACTAGATGGTTTCATAGTTAACAGAAAGGAGAACTATGTATGATTGTTGAAAAAAGTCATAGTACGAACTGAAACTTTCACTGAGGCATTGGTATAAAAGGTTCGATTTATTCACAACTACTCATAACTTTGTCAGAGAAAGTTATGATAATTGTATGTACTTCATAAAGTGTGATGACGATTTAGCTATATATTTACTGTTATATGTTGATGAAACATTTATAGCAACTAAAGATAAAGCGAAAGTCAAAAAAGTGAAAGCCCAGCTTAGTGAAGAGTTTGAGATGAAAGATTTAGATGCAGTAAGAAAGATTCTTGGTGTGGAGATTTTGAGGGATATAAAAGTTGGCAGATTGTATTAGAGTCGGAAGAAGTATATTGAAAAGTTACTTTACAGTTCAAAATGCTGATTACAAAGGCTATCAGTAATCCTATTGCTGCCCACTTTAAATTACCATCTGACTTGTGTCCACAGTCGATAAAGACATCGATTACATGTCTCAGGTTCATTATTCAAGTGCAGTAGGATCACTTATGTATGCTATGATTTGTACACGTCTAGACTTAGCACATTCAGTCTGTGTAGTTAGCATAAAATCCTGGCAAGGAACATTGCAAAGTAGTGCAATGAATATTAAGATATTAAAAAGGCTCTACTGATGCTTGTTTGCATTTTGATAGGAATACGATGGAGTCATTGGGTAAGTGAATTCAAGTTATGCAGGAAATCTTAATAAGAGAAGATTACTGACAGGGTCTGTGTTTATTTTTGGAGACAACAATATTAGTTGGAAAGCTATTTTGTAAAATACAATAGTATTATCTACAATAGAGGCAAAGTACATGGCTATTAAATAGGCAAGTGAGGAAGCTATGCGGTTGATGGATTTAATTAGTAAAATCAATGAAGACTTGTAGATTTCTACAGTTTATTATAATAGTCAGAGTGCAATCTTTCTAACAAAAGACCAAATACTTTACGAAAGGACAAGGCATATTAATGTGAGGTATCATTTTGTGCGTGATGTAATTGTTCGTGGTAATATTATAGTGAGCAAAGTTGATACCGAGGAAAATCGCGCTAATATGATAACAAAACCACTTCACATTGCTATGTTTGAGCATTGCTTGAACTTAGTTAGTATTTGTCATTGATTTAGCTCATTAGGACTTGTGTGGAAGAGATGGAATAGTTGTTTGGTGACTTGCCAAAGAGCATTGTGTAATTTCTTACATTGGAATTTGGTTCAAGGTAGAGAACAGTTGAAGTGTGACCTAAATTCTATTGGATATTGGTGTTTTTGTTAAAGATGACTTGAAGAGGTCAAATTATGGACCAAGGAGAAGCTTGCTGAGCATGTCTCCCGTTCAAGTGCTTGAATCAGGAATATTGGCACTGGATTGGCATTTGCCTGGCACTCGAGTGATAGTTCGTCGGCCAAATGCCCGTTTCAAGTTTTAATGCGTTTTTATCACTTCAATCTTTCTATAACTCTAGTTTTAGGGTTTATATGCAGAATCCACACTTGTAATCATAACATAACATGATATAGCCTCGATAGAGCTTTAGATCTTGATTGAGAGCATTGAGATCTTGTGTAAACAACATTCACTATTGATTATAGTGAAAGACTCCTCATTCGTTCTTGATTTTTTTGCATATTGGATTTTCATATAAAATTTTGGTGTTCTTATCTTGTTTGATTTATTTCATTATGGCCTTTAACTTGTGCTTATTTCATTAACACATACCATATGTATTTCATTGATTCCAAACCATCGCAAAAAATAATAAAAATAATAAAAAATAAAAAATAAACACCAATAGCAAATACCATCAAAAATTTAGTGTTGATTAGCAGTAGCAGGAAAAAATGAAAACAAGGAAAAAAGAAAAATAAGTTATTGTTCTCAGGTACTGTCCATACACTGAAATTCAGCTTTAGATTTATCATCAGTTTCAAAAAAAAAAAATCGTACAAATGTCTGCTCCTGATTTAAATGCCCAAACATTTGCTACTCATAAAAAACCAATATTTCCATATACTAACTAGTTGTTACAGCACATAACCTAAATTAATTAGCTCATAACCCACCAATATAGCTATAATCCTTATAAATCACATCATTTATGTACAATTATTAGCCCAACATCAATATCCATAAATCCATTACCAATTACATATAAGGGAGCAATACATAACTTCTACGTATAAGAATCACATTTCAAAACTAAAAAACTTGTCAAATTATTTTAAAATTCAGGTATCAATTCCAATTAATAATTGAAATTAATTATCCCCACGCACCCACCACCATACGCCCACTCCTACCCCCATCCCACCTATAAAAAAATTTCAAAACATGAAAACCTTTGCTGGAGATCCCAACACATTCCCACCCCCTATCCTACCCTATCCCAAAATATTTCCAGAAATTAAAAACTAGAAATCACACCCCACCCCATGGAACCACTTACCTTTCTCTCCACATCCACCTCTAAAAAAATTTTCAAAAATTAAAAACTGGAGATTACATCCCACTTCATAGATCCACCATACCCTACCCTACCTCCACTACACCCTACCACGCCCATCCAAAAAATTTCCAAGTCATTATATATAATTAAGTCACTGACATGTATTATCAGTGACTAATTGTAATCAAAGTTGTATTTCATATGACTAATTGTAACTAAATTTATATTCAATGTAACTGTCTATGACTAAATCAATATTAACTATGACAATATGTATTCAAGTCACAATAGGTCACAATCAACACAAAATTGGTTATAACTTTTACAATAAACAATACTTGACAACAAAGAGTCACTACAAATAAATCTTTACACACCGCAGACTAATACCACAACCCACCACCTTCACCTCCAACTTTACTACATTCACTAACCTGTGTTATCTGTGACTAATTGTGACAAACTTTGTATTTAGTGTTGACTGTCTCTGACTATATCAGTCTAATTCGTGACTTCATATAACCAAGTTATATACAGTTACAAATAACATAAATCTAATCACATATAGTCACAATGAAGATAGACTTGGTCACACCTAATTTTCGTCGCCACCACCACTCCTAACAACTTTAAGAACCAAACACGCATAACTTCACCATGATCACATGAACCACTAGCAACAAAACCATCATCGCCTACACTACCACCAACAAAACCACCAACGAACTATAGATCAGAAAACCATCCATGGATTGAAAAACCAACACCACCATTTGCAAAATATTAACAATAATCCAAAACTCCAACTAAACAACAGATCTAATAAAAAAATGACTCACCAACAATCCACCCATAGCATAAACAACCCAGATCAAATAAAAAAGACCACCAACAAAGGTGGATTTCACTACTTGCAGTAGCAGTAAGTGGCCCTATTGCACCATTCCCATAGCCACGTTGGCACAATGTTGTTAAAGGTGAGAATTGTCACTTGCGTCACCCATGCACATCAATTATGTGACACTCACCGGTGCCACCCCATAGCTTCATGTCGTAGCAAACAATGAAATCACCGTCGCGTTATGCCCGCTTTATCCGCATACAGTAATTGCGCGACAATCGTCTGTGCTATGCAGCCACCACCTAAATAACCTCTCATCGTGCAGCACCAACCCCATAACCTCTTGTCGCCGTTGGGACAAATAGCTTGCAGCAGTGCTGGACTACCATATGAAAATTTTCATTTTGCTGGCGAACTATAGCCTCCATTTTCGGTAGTTCATGTACGCCTACTCAATCGTCAGTATGTGGGTGAAAAAGGACGAGAGAGAATACTTTAGGTGAGAAAATATTCTTAGGGGTTTGAAATGAATAGAGCGGGTGGTGGGTACATAAATTAGTCTTAATTAAGTTTTTATTAATTATAATTATTAAAATCTAATTACCACCTGATTTTTGAAATAAAATTTAATCCCCTTGTTTTTGGAAAATTAATATTGAAATGTAGGTTTTGGGGTTATTTTCTCTGTATATAGGGAAAATTTTATAAGTTAGAGATTAAGTATGGCATATTTCAAAATTAAGAAAATAAGTTTCAAACTTCAAAAATCAGATTTTTATTAAAATTTATTCATTATTAAATTAATTATTTATTTATTTTATTAATTAAATATATTTAAGTCACATATCTATACAATTTGGTTACAAATTAGCAATTTAATTAATCACTTATTATTTTTTGGTCACAAATAAAAAATTTTATGTCACAAATTATTTTACGATCACAATTCAAAAAATTTGTAAGTCACAATTTGATCATCGGTCACAAATAAAAAATTTTATGTCACAAATTATTTTACGATCACAATTCAAAAAATTTGTAAGTCACAATTTGTTCATCGGTCACAAATAAAAAAATTAATTAGTGACAGCTTATCAAATTATTAGTCACAACTTATTTTTCGATCACAAATCAAAAAAATTAATGTCACAAATTGTGTTTATGGTCACAATTCAAAAATTTTGTAAATCACGATTTGTTTGTCACGGATAAAAAATTTATATGTTACAAGTTATTTATAAGTCACAAATCACAATTGTTATAGGTCACGGATTAATTTTATTTTTTAGGTCACACACTATTCTTGGTCACAATTTATCTTTTTAGTGGTCACATATTATTTATTAGTCACGGGTCAGTCAATTTAATAGTCACAATCAATAATATAATCTATGACCACCACCAAACCTCCGCTACCTCTACAGCACCACCACCACCGCCACTACCGCAACCACACCAACACCACTGTCACCATCGCAGCACCACAACCATCACCACTACCATCTCACCATCACGACAGACCAATCACAGAACTCCACAAATCCACCACACAACCACAAATCCACCACAAAACCGTTCCCACAAATCCACACAACCACCGTCCCCACCACAGAACCGCACGCCTCCACCACCACTGTTCATCACCACTCACCCAACCACCACATCACCGCCACACCTACAACAACTCAGTAAGGCAGTACCCTATTACCACACAATCCACACTATACCGCCACCACCCCAACGAAACCATTACATTGTCTCACTCCACAAAATCGAAGCGGTTGCAAACCACCGCTTCACATCGCTGCCCTTCCAAATTCACCACCACTATGCAATCAACCCCCGTAGCACCTCCATTGCTTCATATCGCAACAAATCGAGGCGGTTGCTAACCACCTCTTCACATCGCTGCCAGATCGCTTCAGCCGCCGAGCAAGGGACGTGCACCAACCACATCTTCACATCGCGACGAGGCTGGATTGGTCCTTCGTCGGAGTTTGTAGCTGGCAGAAGCGTTGATGTAGAGAGAGAGAGAGAGAGAGAGAGAGAGAGAGAGAGAGACATACGACAACGTCTTGGGTGGAGAGAGAATGAAGTGTTTATAAAGAGGATTGGGGTTTTGTAATGTGTATATAATGGAGTATATTAGTAAAATATTTATTTTATAAAATATTGATTAAAATAATATTTCTGATTATTGAAATATGAAACTTTGAATCTGATTTTAGAAAGTTGAATAGTTAAAGTATCGTTTTATGTAATTTCCACCTATATAATACCTCAACAGCCCAAGATACCAAAACTATTGTAGCCCAACAAAACTAGCTCATATAACCTAAGCCCACTATCTAAAATTTATTTGACCCCACACATCCCATACAGTTACCCATCTTCAATACCAGCCTAGTCCATTACATACAAAATCTATCCCGGCCCATAAATCCTCTAACTTTGTCTTCTCCAGGCTCCAGCACTGTAATTGCTTCTTCCCTTTGTCACCGCATAGAACCACCTTCGACGCTGCATACTCTGCCTCCATCCCACGTCCACGCACAACTCGATCAGTCTCTATCTACCCATTTTCTACTACCAAATCTGATCACTGAAAAGAAAAAAAAAATGGGTTTGGGCTCAAATTTGCCTGCACTGGAGTCTAGACTAGGAATGGCTCCGCCTAAATAAGAGAGAATTAGAGAATATACCCTATATTTATAATGTATTTACAATTTGCGTCTAATATTTTGCATGCTGCATATTAATTTTGTAGGAAACAATATAAAATTTTTCAATTTTTAATTATAAATTGCTAAGAGCTAAAAATAACAAAAGGTATGTAAAATGTTAGATACTTTAATATATGGTTTTTTAAGGGTATTGTGGTATGTTCATAAATTTATAATAGCAAGTTTGTAGTTTTGTAACCAAAATGTGTTTTTTTTACCATTAAGTAAAAAGGGGTGTGTAAATTATAAATTAGAAAAATACAGTATGTAAAATGTAAATAAACCCTAAATGAATGATTTATTGTGTAAATTTTCCTTTGTGCTAATTGATACATATCATTGTTGAATATAGTGTTCTAAAAAGTTTAAATCGTGACTAGACGTGGAGCCGAAGTTTCAAACTTTACGAAGTTAAGCTAGTCTAGGAGAGGCTTAAACATAAAAAAACAAAAACAAAAAAAATTCTTATTTATAATATTACTATAAATTTTTAATCAATTTAATAATTAAAATAATACATATTAAACATCTAAAATTATAAAACACAATATTTACTTAATAACTCCCACCACTAGTCAATTGTACAATTTTCATGTTTTCAAAATGCAAAAATTAAAATATTTTTCATAATTTCAATTTTCAATTAAACAATTCATACTTAATAAATTTATAGGAATTTCATATATGATTTTAGAGTTTATGATAAAAATGAGTCTTAATACCTTAATTACATAATGTAGATAACATCATAACTTAAAATCTTATTTCACTATTTAGATAAAGTCATTTTTAACTTTTGTAAAGATAAATCTTTTAAAGACTTGAAATTAAAGTCAAATGAAAAAATAATAATAATAAGCTAAAGTAAAATAAAAGACTTTTAAAAGAAATTAATAAAGTGCGTCTACGGAAGACAAAAGAATTGAAGAAAAAAATTTAACCGTTTAGAAATTGGGGGGGAAAAAAGAGTCTGTGTGCGAAGTGAGATGTTTTGTTCGAGCTTCGAGCCGGTTTTTCGAGATGTATCAGAACTTTTTCGATTTATTTCGTATAATATAAAATAATATAATAAGTAGTGGACAAACAAAAAAAAAACACAAAAAAAGAGGGAATTTTATTGATTAAATACAATGAACTTCTAAAAAATTTAAATTTGGAGGCCTTCTTCGCCTTCCACCTAAGCTGCGCAGGAAAGGCCCAAACCCAATCCCAGGGAACAGTGAAGCTTAACCCTAGACACTCTAAGATCCTTTTTCAAACCTGCTCCCATTTCGAGTTCATGCAGGCGAGTTGCAGCCTGCAATCCGAACTGAGGACGGGTTTTTGGGTCACGGCGAGACAAGCCGTTTATCATTACGATAGGTGTCAAGTGGAAGTGCAGAAGTATGTATTTAGCCAAAATACATGCAATAGAATCTTTGTATTCGGCCCAATCCTTTTCTTGTGTCGAAAGAGTAATGATTTTTGATCCTGTTCATCAAAAATTCCTAGTCTTGACTATTGCAATTCTGTTCCTGATAGCGGGTCACATGTATAGGACTAACTGGGGCATTGGTCATGGCCTAAAAGATATTTATGGCGGCTTTTAGAGCACTGGTTGAATATTAGCCCCATGCCGTGAGGTGGATGAATGGTCCAAGTCCAACAGATTGGTCCAATTAAAAATATTCAATAGTAAATATTATTGAAACGGTAATATGGTAACAGGACTAGCTAAAGTACTAAATTACCAAGGAAACTTCGCACGCTTTCTTTTCCTATGCCGGGAAAATAAGGAAAGGGAAATGAGAGTCCTATTAGGAATTTTAAGAAATTTTTTATAGTACTACGGAGTATCTAAAACTCACAACCATTATTTATAGGGTGTTTGACACCCATTTTGTTAGAAAAATAAATTTTAGAATAATAAATTGATGAAGAATGTGAATGAAAAATAAAGAAAATTGTTTTATTTACATGTAATATTATTTTAATGAAGAATATGTGATTAAAAAAAAGAGAAAGATAGAAAATTACATTTTGATAAAACTGGGAATCAAACGGATTAGCATGTATATTGAATAATTGAGACTAAACATTGAATTTAGATTAGACATACGTGTCAATTAAATAGTAAAACGAGTACTGAGTTCAATACAGAAAGTACTAAAGTATTTTTTCGACTTTTAAATCTTACCTCAATTCTACATATATGAGATGAGTTGAAAAGAAAATTAGAGAGTGCAAGAAATCAAATTCAACTCCAAAAAGAGAGAAAATCGAGAGCAACTATAAGGAAATTTGCACAGTTAGGCCAACCTGTGCAATCATCGTTCAAACTTCAAACGTTGATATCTCGATGATTCGCGGTCCTATCATCCTCATATTTCGCTAGCACGTCCACGACTCATTGTTCTCAATTACAACAGTTATTTCTTGAGAAATCACATTTAAACGGTAGTGAATTTTGCTAAGATCTTTATTTATTATTTTTTATTAGTATTCCAAGAAATAGATTTTCTTGAGATAGTTGAAACCCTATTTTATTCACATAAATAAAGATGGAAAACTATAAATTCAAGTATTTTATGTCAGTAATATGTATATATCACGTTAATGGACAGTGTGAAAATAAATTAAGAGAAAAATTAAAATTCTAACAATTATAATATTTAATCATGTTTGATATTATATATCCAACATTTCTTTAATATGTAGATGATATGCATATTACGTACATTTGCACAAATCGAGAACTCCTTTGAATTATTAAACTTGCGTACTATAAATTTATGAATAACAAATACAATCAGTTTTTATTTTAGTAAACATGTTCAGTTTGTATGCCACCGAACAGACACAAACGATAATATAACAATCAATAGGGGAATCAGAAATTATATGATAATTGTTAAAAAATGATGTTTGATTCTGATGGCTACAAATTAAAATCGGTAAATCATGATAATGATATGGATTGTACGAATATTAATTAATTAAATCAACTAATATTGTTTTCATTAATCTGGTAGGAATTATTCTATTACAATATTCATATACATGCTTATTGATTTTGACACGAATAATTAATAATTTTTTTTAATAATATAGTAAATCCGCGCTAAACGCGTCAATTAACGAATTATTCATATTTTCTTGTTTCAACTTGTTATATACATATTCCATTTTGTTTTTGTTTTTCCTTCTTGCATTTATTATCCATATTTTACACACAAAATATTAATATACGAGAATATTTATTAAAGCTTCCTATTTTTAAACTAAAAACAATTTCGAATTATGAAATAAAGTCTAATAAAAAGTTGTCCTCTTGTATTAAAGCTTTGATGAAATATTATTTTTTATTTTCTCGCTGCTTTGATCCTTTAGCAAATTTAAAATAAAATTTATGTCGAGTAAAATGTACTCACTTTAAATTGGCATCGAGAATAGTCGACTTGATCTGGCTTAGTTAGTACATGATAATGTTGATTGAGACACAAGTGTTCTTTTCATCTTTAGTAATATAAATTTTGATGTGAACATATGTGCAATGCTTTTCATTGTGAATTTTTAAGAAAGGTGAAAACGAAAGTGTACCTTTTTTTTGTTTTTTAATTTTTAGTGTTGGACCTTTAGACAAATTTTTATAACGGAAAAGATATAAAGTGAGTTTGGAAAAAACTCTTGACACGTTGTCCCATTTTTTTGGGTATTGTCTTAAGATCGCAAATCATTAAACGTAAAGATCATCTCAAAACTTCTAATTAATTGTTTGTCTTTACCATAAAAAGAAGGAAATTGCAGCGATGGTCTCTAACTTTTACATTTTTTGCAGACTGTACACTAACCTTTATTTTATGTCAGTGAAGGTCTTAAATCTTTTATAAATATGCAACTGAAGTTCCTCTAGACGAAAATCATCCAAAATACCATTAGTTGACTAGGAAAATTCCTTAAACTATTTGCTACTGTGATGATTTTATTAGATATTGATATTTTTTTGGACGATATTTTCTGACGGTATTTTGGACGATTTTATTGGATGTTGATTCCTTAATTTTTTCGATTAACTGACGGTGTTTTGAATGGTTTTTATCCAGATGGACCTATGTGCATATTTATGAAAGGTTTGGAACTTCCGTTGACACAAAATAAAGGTTAGGGTAAAGTCTGTAAAAAATGAAAAG